TGGACCACTAGTCACACTTTTCATACCCAGCAAAAGTTGGAAATGTATGTATGTATATGAGGCGTTCAATACCAAAACGGGCGGGGTTCACACTTCATGTGTTTGATTTGTTTAAAATTTTTTGGGTTGATGCACAGGCATAAATAACAAATAAATATGAAATTTGAGCTTGACTAATACATTTTTAAAAACTTTACCGTACCAACGGGGCGAGGAAAAAATTTAAAAAAAAAATATTTTCACATAAAAATTTTTTGATAAAAAAATTAGTTTTTGAAAATATACTATCTCAAAAAAATCTGAAAAAAATCACGATGGTAGCTCTGAGTATTGCGCACTATTTAAGTGTAGTATTATGGAGTGCACTCTACAATAATTTGAGTTATAAATTGTTTTCTACGCCGAAGTTGAGTAAAATAAGTGTATTCAAAATTTAAAAATTTGTTAATTTTCTTTTTTTATTTGTTTGAATATGCAGTTTTGTAGCTCATTAAATTTTAGTATAATAAAGTGCAAGCTTTGACCGATTGCAAAACCGGCCTTATTTTTTTTTTGATTTTTTTTTTAACGGTTTTACTCATTTTCTTCCATAAGAAAGAAGTGCAAAAAGCCGTCAGCATAAAAAATATTAAAAATCAACGCAATTTCGCAGTAGCTTAAAACTTGCACTACAATTTAATGGGGTGCAAGGCTGCATACTCAAGAAAGAAATCTAAAAAAATTTTAAAAATTTATAAATTTGTAATATATGAACTCATTTTACTCAACTTCGGTGTAAAAAAATTCATAGCTCAAATTATTGTAGAGTGCACCCCATAGTACTATACTTAAGTATTGCGCAATACTCTGAGCTACCATTGTGATTTTTTTTAATTTTTTTGAGATGGCATATTTTTAAAAACTGTTTTGTTTATCAAAAAATTTGTATGTGAAAAAATTTTCAAGAAATTTTTTTTTTAATATTCCTTCTCATAGACAATTTTTATGTATGTATGTGTAATTTTTTTAAAATTTTTTCCTCGCCCCGTTCTCGAGAACTATTAAGTCGATTTGTTTTTGTATTTGTGCGGTAAAGTTTTTAGAAATGTATTAATCAAGCTCAAATTTCACTTTTATTTATTATTTACGTTTATGCATCAACCCTAAAAATTTGAAACAAATCAAACACATAAAGTGTGAACACCGTCCGTTTTGGTATGGAACGCCCCATATACAAATATAAGTATGTATATTTTTTTTTTTAAACTTACTTACATCTAAGTAACTATGTACGTACATATGTATGAAAAGAGACTTTAGTTGATTCAATTGTTCGATATCTATACATATTTTATCGCGCTCTTGGCTTACTAGCGCGTTTGTCGTGGAAATTGCCAACACAAGTTGGCAATGTAATTTATGATTCTAAACGGAAATGATGAAAATGAAAATTTGCAACGCTGGCTTGTGCTAACAAAAAAAAAGTAAAAAGATAAAAGATATTCACCATCAAATAAGCCGGGCTAACTAATGATGTGCACTTTGTAGGAAAATCAGTGTTGTTAACTTTTGTAAAATTTTGCATTTGTTGCTTCCATCATTGCAATCGCAGCCAGTGCAGGGCGATTCTCCTTTTACTATAACAAATAATTAATAAAAGGATTCGAAGCAATGAAGACAACATTTTGTTCATACTAATGATCTCTTACGTTTTTGCATTGCATTTGGTTCAGATGTATTAAGATTGGATCAACAATATTTATCCCCTATATCTAAACTTTGAACCAGTTCCAGTCTCGAAATAATTTGTTCCAAACTAAGTTGCTGTGTTAACTGTGGGCTAGTTTCTATCAAATTTCATTTTCCGAAAAAGTAACTTTGAAGAAGTGTTCAATCCGCTTCCAAGAAGGTATGCTAGAGCTCAGTACATAGCAGGGACAATTTTTACAAAGCCAACAATATAACGAGCCTTGAAGTCCTTCTCGCTTTATAAAAGCCCGGGCCAGACGGCATCATGTTGCAAACTGTGGAGGATGCTATCGTGTCCTCGCTTTTGTCAATTTTCAAAGGATGCATTGCTTTTAACTACGTCCCTTTGTCGTGGAGGCGAGGGCATGCCTACGCTAAAAATTTTCGACCAATTAGCTTGACTTCCTTTGTTCTCAAAACCTTCGAGAGGGCTCTAGATGCGCACGTTCGGGGGTTTAAGCGGTATACTTTGCCAGCCTTCCTCGAAATCGGAGAAGCCTTTCACAATGTTCGGGTAGAAGCTATCCAAAAATCCCTGGACGTGCTTGGCGTCGAGGAGTCTACAAGCGCATGGCTAATGGCGATGCTTAGCAGCAGAACGATTTTAGCTAAACTTAGAAGCTATACACTAATAAAAAAACATTGGTAGGCGCACTCCTCAAAGTGAAGTGATCTCTCCAATTTTTTGGCACCATATACTCAGAACTACTCAAGCTCAACCAGGGGGAAGTATTAGCAGTGGCCTACGCTGACGATGTATTGATTTTAGTAACTGGGTTATTTCCATCTGTGGTGAGTAATATCATGGGTGGAATTTTAGCAGAGCTATGCCGATGAGCAAAGTGGTCTTTGAGTTAACCCAGAGAAAATAGAACTAATGCTCTTTACGGCCATGAATAAGGTTCCTGGCTTTGGTTACATACTACCGACCCGAAGTAGAATTTCACAGATTTTTCGGGCTCATTATTCCATCGGGGGCTGACTGGGATGGGCAGTTTGATATCTCTACCTGGATACATCATCTGTACACCGATGGCTCCAAAATGGAACGCGGAGTTGGAGAAGGCGTTTACCCTGAAATAAGTTAAGGCGAGCGCGTAGCTATTTTCTCAGATAGCCGGGCGGCCTTTGAGCCCTTGGCATCTTTTATAACAAGGTCGAAACTAATCAAGGAGTGTACGCTGCTCGATCAGGATTTAGTTTGGGTCCGTGGTCATCGCAACATTCCCAGAAGCGTAGCCGCAGACGATTTAGCGAGGCAGAGTTTCACATTGGTTTCACATTCCAATTGAAACCTTATATTTATCCACAAACTTCAGAAAAAGGATTGAAGGTGGCGCACAGCGCCCAGTGTTTCGACTATATGCCGGCAGATGGAAAAAAGTCGTGGTCACAGATGATTCAAAAAACCGGTTGGACTTAGAGGGAGAAAAGTAAAGGTCATAAATATAAAACTTTACATATCATTTACTCACCCCTTCTCTACTCCTAAAAATACTGGAATCGGCCCGATACCGACCAATCAGTTCAGTTGCATTTGACGCTGCAGCGCGCTGAACCCCAATCAAGTCTTTAGGTGTCATGGAATATTCAGATGACGGTATTTGTAATTAATTTGATATTTTCCTTTTTTTATCAAAAAATTTATTTGCTAAAGATTTTTAGTAAAAAAAGTGTGAGACGGGAATATTTACGCCTATATAATTTTTAAGTATTTATAGCCTTTGGAAAGCGAAGACAAAAATTAGCCATCACATTTAATGATTCGGTCGACAAATTTTTGAGTTTAGGACATTATATTGAGCCAATCTTTCCCATATTTTATTTTGGGGTTTTCAAATTAAAAGAGAGTGCAAACTAAATTTCAGCGAAATGGGTTGAAAATTTAATGTTCCCCCCCCCCACAAGAGTGCACGTCGTGGCAATTATCCCATATTTAACAAATTGCATAATTCCGTATTCCTAAGTAAAAGTCCAGTTTCAGAGAAATCATTGCAGGTTAACTATTATTTCCTCGTTATAGTCGCAAGACTATGGGCTCCTCCCAAATCAATTGGAATTTTCATACCGCATAAATATCTATGGATATGAGAGTACTGGAGAGTACTGAAACTTGGTATGGAGGTACATAAGTATGTGGAGAAAAATTGGCGTTATTGGAAAAGTGGGCGAGGCACTTCTCATACAATTTCTCTTACTGCATATCCCTGAAAGTATTTGTAGTAGAGTACTGCAACTTACTATGGAGATAAAAGAAATAAATTCAATACTGGTGACTCCCATGCAAATTAATTTTTTTTTGCTGCATATCTCTGAAGGCGTTTATGGCGTATCCAGATATATAAAATCAATTCCATACTCATAGAATAAAGTTAGGGTTATTAGAAACTGGGGCGTGGCACCTCATATACAAACTAAATTCTTTCTTACTGCATATCCCTGGAAGTATTTCTGGTAGAATAATGGAACTTGTAATGAAGTTATGTATATAAAATCTATCCAATAATGACGTGCAGACGAGATTTTTTTGATTTCGTAGTTTTAAACGGCCGCTTACCTTAACTCGCTACAAAAAATGTCCAGCTGTATCGAAATAATATATATCCAGCCTTATCATGAGTTTCATTTTCACAGCTCTTTTTAAAAATCGACTAGCCGGCTATTCGGTTAGTCGTTTAGTCGATTAGCAACTTTTTTGCCGGTTGATAGTCGAATAGCCATTATTCGATTAACCGCTCGAAGTCGACTAACCGCTCACTATCGAATAGTGTGAAGATTGACTAACCGAAATTATTCGAATAGTTACAGTCTTTAAACACAAAATTATTGTTATTAGCATGGTTGGGTTTTGTTAATAGGCATAAGTATTCAAAAAATATAAAAAGGCAATGTTTACGGAAAGAAAACAACTAGTCGACTAACAAGAGCTCTATTCATTTTCCCCCAAGCGGTTCACTTTTCACTTACAGGCGAATGAAACATTTTCGGGTGAATTTTTTTTCGGACGAAACTCAGGATAAGGCAGATTATCTTTGAAATATTTTTCATATTTGTATAAAAAAGAGGAATTAAACTTGCGAGTATAAGCTACTAAACAGTGAATAAGATTATAAAGGCTTTATAAATCGAGAATTTGTATGAAAATGTCACTTTATAAAGCTCTTTAAATCTACCTTAGGTTTCTGTGATTCAAGCCATAAGTATGTATGTATTTATGTATGTAGTTGTTTGTACAATTTACTGTAAGTACTTAACTGTACATTAACACTTACCCGGAACTGACCAGAATGCTCGAATTTATGAAAGTCTGGCTCCAATTCAAGTGCTTCTTCGAGATTTTGCAAAAATTGTCTTTGGAATGTGACAATTTCGTGAATGTTACCAAAGAGTGCATTTATTTCAGCATTCGATAGGAATGTCTCTCGTTTCATTGGCTCCAAGTAATGCTCCAGTAGATTGTTCAAATGCTGCAAAAATAAGCAAAATGTGAGTAAATTCAGCGCATTTTATTGCATCGAGTTTTGTATGTATCTACATTAGGGTTATCCAAGTAAAATCCGAATTTTAATGCATTCAACCCCTATTTTTTATTTTGAAATAAAAAAATATTTAATGGTTGCTCAAAGCGCTAAAAGTTTTCCACGTATTTTATATGGGTATAAACAACTTTTCGTAGAAATGGTATAGAATTCTTGAAAGTCAATATTTTTCCGGTTCTGTTCGGAAGGCTTCCAATAACAACACCCAATTGTTTATTTAACCATTTCTTAATACTAAAGATTTTTTATTGATCCCCCCATTGCATTTTCTGTGGTTTTTGGGGGACCTATAAAATATAGCTAATAAAAAAAGGTTAAATAACCAATCGAGTATTATTATTGGGAGTCTCCTGAAGAGAAACAGAGTTTTCCGATCGAACAATATTGTTTTCAAGTATTCTATACCATTTCTACAAAATGTGTTTTTTCCCCCACATGAACTGCATGGAAAACGTTGAGCGCTTTGAGCGACGTCTACAAATTTTTTGATTAAAAAAATAGGGGTATAAAAAGTCCGACTTTACTTTTTCACATGCATTTTTGGACCACCCTAATCTACATATATATATTTATGTTTGCATGTATACATGGACAGAGGGCCATTCAGTTATTACCTAAGCCAAGTATTAGCTAATTTTAATTCCAAAAGATCTTTATACCGTTATGACCGTCCGGCCAGTTTCCCCAACATATTTTAATTTTTATGAAAAAAATTCAAACTTTAAGAAGGAAGAAATTATTCAAATGACACCTTTCTTGTAATTTTTTTCATTTGTGTTTAATTCTGTTCTGTTGCCAAAAAATTGTAAGTTACTAAAGATGAAAACCGGTGGACAAATATACCACCTTTGAGTGGTCAAATGAAAAAATGTGTTGTAATGTTTAGTATGAAAAAGTAGCAAGGAATAATGTTACTAATAGCTAATGTGACCAACTATTCCATAGCTCAAAGAAATACAGCTTACGTTGGGTTAGGCTAACGCCGCGAACCGATTACCAAATTTCGAATGTGGCTAATTTCGATCCCTGCGAGCTCAGTGTTAGTTCAGAAGAGCGAGTCCAAAATCCTTGAACCATAACCCCCGAAAGTTGGACAGTCTAAAAAAAAAAGTAGGGATAATTCCACTTCATCTTCCCCTTAATAGCTGATACAAAAGGGATAAATTGAAATTCCTAGTCTTACTGAGTGAATATCAATCGCACAATGGCCTGTCAGAGCTCCGCTCACTAGCTCTTGAGAGGTAACGTGGTATTCGGCGCCCTTAAGGGTGAAACGATGGGTCCCTCATTAGTTGCGCTGCAAAAAGTATTTTAAAGCGGAGAAACGTCTTCTTTTCCTCGTTTATGTCACAAACGGAGCATCGCTTTCTTTTGTCCATTTTATTAGGTATTTAGTAAGGAAGTACGGAATTTCATTATTGCGAGTACGAAATATGCCCTAGCCAAGTTCCCACTAGGCCCCACCATCCAAGAGTGTACCGCAGGAGGACAGAGGCGTCCTTAGTTGGTCCTTATCTGGGGATAACGTTTTAAGGGTGCCTTTCCAACGCCAGGTCGTCGGCCACGCAGTTTTCCGCGACGTCACTGTGACCGTGCACCTAAACTAGACGAAGTACGTAAGAGTACTCTGACGCGATGGATAAAGAAGTCAGTTATTCCTTTACCGATTTCTAATGCAACATCACACCCTTTTGTAGTGAGTCTACCGCTTCGTTGGTGGCAGCTATTTCTTCCTGAAAGACATTGCAGAAGTCCGGAAGACTTAATAACCCCGCTGTACACAGGCGCTGTAATCTATGTGTTTAGGGCGAAGTCAAAGCCCCCCAGAACTTCAGAGTGTTACCATCCGGTTTCTCTTAGCCTAATAGCTCCACTAATTCTAGTTTTGAAAGTGTAGCTTTCTCTAGCGGGTTCCACCAGACAAGGGCTACGTGAAGATAAGCTTAAATCTGGTTCCATAGAGCTAATTAATTACTTTGGGCGAGAGACCTTACCTTTTGCCGATAGTTCCCCTACAGCAGTACAAGACAACCGATGCCTTGTTTACCCTTTCCTTACTGTTAGGCAGCGACAGCTTCCTATCCAGGATCAAGCCTAAGTACTTGACCCTGTCTGAGAGCCGCAGACGAACACCTCCACTCGAGAGAAGGGCTACAACGGGTATCTTGTACATCCTGGTAAACAAGACCAGTTCTACGAGGCCGCCATTGATTGCCCACCTAGATATCTCCTTCAGGTAACCTTGAGGCAGAAAAAAAGGTGTTTAGAAATCGTCCCTTAACCAACAGATTCACATAATCTACATACGCGATGCCAACATTCCACTTTTTGCAGTTCCTCTAGAAGGTCGTGCAGAGCAGGGGAGGGAGAATATTACCTGGCGGAGTGCCTCTAATGTCTCTGCGCTGAGTACAGGCGCTCCCCCACCCCGCCGCGACAGTTATGTCACGAAGTAAGCCTTATTAGGTTGGTTTCAACCCCCAGATTATGAATAGACTTGAATATTGCCTCTGGAGTGACATTGTTGAAGGCCCCCTCGATACAGAGGAAGTGCGTGAAGGCTTCTTCTAACCACTTTAGCAATGCATGCAGGGCGGTTCTTAAAAGATAGTCATATACAGGTCTCTCTAGCGGTTTTGTCAAAAACGAAAATAGACTGATAGGCCTAAAACTCTTGGAGAAGCATTAGAGCATTTTTCGGCCTTCGCGATGAACGCAAGCCATAGGGATGGACCCTGTCCTCACGCAGTTCGCAGGTATGATGCCATCGGTCCTCGGCGACATTAATGGTTTGAACGAATTTAGCGCCCAGGCCATGTGACGATCGTCCAGCAGATTGGATAACTACAGGACTTGAAGTACAAAATATTGCAAAGAAGTGCATTTGACTGTACTTCGAAGTACGAAGTACAAGAGCTAAAAAAGAAGTATAGTACTTCCGAAAGAAGTACGGTTAGTCATATTAATAATAGCCGTACTCAAACATAGTCATACATTTCGTATGAAAATCCAGCAAAAATGATTCAAATCGGTTTAACCGTTCTCGAGTTTTGATGACCGTGACAAACGAACACAACATTTTAATATATATATAGATAGAAGATATAGATGACATTAGAATTAAATATCGGCATTTTTTTTAATCTTATGGGTTTCGAATATTCCCGTTTATATTCCTTATGAATAAAACTATCGAAACCTATCGAGAACGAATTTAATACTTATATGACAACATAGATGGAATTGCCTTCGTTATTTTCGCTGAATGCGTTAATAATGTGATCGCAGATGTTGGTATTAATCAGAGTTTCTTTATGAAGATTATAATATTTATGCTACAAGTAATCAGCTACAAGCGCTACAGCTTAGCACAAGCATGGGGTAACACCTTAATGGAGAACTTTGCATGAAACACACATTTATAGGCGCCTCCAAAACAATTGTTACAAAAACGCCAGCGGCGATGAAAAATTATGAATTTACAAAAATTTTAATTAATATTAGAATCAACCAAAACATACGGAGAAAAGGATAAAGCTGTTACACGAAAGTTATAAGAAAAGAAGTGGTGAAAAGGAAATCAGACTGGCCATCGAATGGAAAAAGAGGACATCTTGCCTGAAGGCCAAACGGCGGAAGCCGTAAGGATAGTTTTGCACACTTGAAGAACATATACATATGCACATATGTATGTACATACATATTTTTGTGCGTTTTTGTGCATACATTTCTGAATATTCGCAATGCATATAAGTTTGTATGCACTAGATATGTGTGTGTGTGTGTGTGCGTGTATTGTCGGAAAAGGGTATGCTAATGTAATGCAAAAACTTTGAAACAATAGTTGAATAAATAGAAGTTTTGAGTTAGAGAATGCTGCCCAACACGCCATTATTGAAGCCGTGGTCTACGCTTTGTGGTTTGTGGCTGTGGCAAAAGTTAATACCGCCAACTGTACCAATTAGTGGCGTTTGCTGTTTGCACTTTTGGCATCGGCGTGTAAATTCTGCCAAGTTGCGCAAAACTTGCTTCAAACTCATTAAAGCAATGCCAGTAGCTGCGGAAAGTACTACATAGCACCTTGCCAAACGCGATTAATGTATTCATACCCTGCAGGAAATGTATCTAACTATAAGCTAAGTTTAAGTTGATTAGGAAGGAACTAAATGTCACTATTATCTGTACAGTTTCTTTGACGAAAGCTAACTATATTTCTATGGCGATGGCCCCGAAATAGTCGAGGGTGGTTACCTCTGCATTAGATGTAGTCGAGGGTGGTTACCTCTGCATTTGATGTAACTAGCTTGTAACTACATAGCTACTTTTTTTTATTTATTTTATCACATTTTATATTTGTTTACATATTCTGCTGTAGGTGGTCCCATATTCGAACTCCGTCAGACATAACTTCAAAATGATAATATGAAATTGCGATCTTCCTTTTATTTGTCCTCAATTCGAAAAAGTATTTGCGAAGTGCAGGATATCTTAATAGAAACGTGTTTAAAGAAAACAATCTCTTGCATTACTTGTCAACTAGTTTCAAGAGAGATTGTACTACAAGTAGGTTATTTTTTATCAATTGATCATTTTTTTCTGCAGGGTATGTACGCCTGTGTGTAGGTATTGGTGTAAAATACTGTTACTGGTAATAACCGGGCCATACCTAAGCGTGAAGGTGCACATTGCTACATTCCCAAGTGCGTTTTCCAGCTGATATTCATAATTTTTTATCTCTATCATTATTTATCCGCCACTTTTATACCAGTTGCGAACTTGACTTAATAACCAACAATAAGAGGCGAGCTATATTTTAATGATTCATATCGTTCTTTACTTTCTTCGTTTCTGCTTTATTTTTTTTAATTAATAATTATTTTGTTTGAGTGCTGGATGCGCTAGTTTCTTTCCACTTGTACTTTGCAAGT